GTCTATGACATCAACTCTTGGTAAGTTTGTGCCTATACCTTGCTGTTTCTTATGATAACTATGTTCTTGATGACATGGTAAGGTCAAAATGTTACCTGCTCAGTTAAATAAAAAATTCTGCAACTACAATTATATGGCTACTTGCTGCATTTTTCTCCACTGAAAATGCAATGAAAGTGCTCTTTTGTACCTGGCCTTAATATAGGACTAGATATGGTCATAACTACCTTTCTGTGTCTTTGCAACTTCTGTATCATAGCACGAAGAACAGACTAACTCAGTTCCATCTGACAACGATACTCCAGAAGATCCAACGGTGTGTTTTTGTTTTCTTTTTACCATATATTAGCTTATTTTGTGTAAATATTGAAAGTAACAGTTTATTTTCCATCATGTGAAGGGCTCATTGCATGGATAAAATCTGCTCTCAAAATACAAATTCAAAAACAATCAAACTGTAGGCCCTATGTTGGTTGCAGTGATAAGATTTTAAATAGGCCTAATGAAAATCGAAAATCAATATGTGGCAGTCGGCGTTGATATTGTGGTGGGCCGCCACAAATAAATGAATATACGGGAAACACTAGATCCACTGCTTAGTATTAAGTGTTCTGACCATAAAAATAGTTTAAAGCCACAATTAACCATCTGGTTTCTTCAACTATCACTCAGGAGCAAAAATGTGCCATTATAATGATTTGACATTTATCATAACGTTACGTTCTTGCCTCCTACCCTCCATCTTTGTTGTAAACCCTGAACACATTTCAGGCAGAGAAAAATTTCTTGCTTTAAGCCCTGAGCTGCAGAAAAACGTGTAGCATTTTTACAAGAGCAGCTAACACTGAGATCTTCAATTTAGAAGCTGTTAGCAAGTCAGACAGACAAACCAAATCTTAAAGTTCACTATAAGTTCATTTTCTTCAATCAAGTTTCCCTCAGCGCTCTCATAAAAACCAAAATACAACCACACTTCAGAGTGAAAAATCTTCCTCTGTGTTGTCACAGACTCAAACAAACCCGCGTTACATAGTGCGCATGCTCACTTTGGTTGATGCTGGATATTTGCTTGAGTTTATCAAAGTGCAGTAACAGAACCCAGTTATCCTGGTAATTAAAATGTGTACGATAATAATAACTGTCGGGATTTTTGCCATGGTTTATCGTCATACCGGCAATCGTTTCATCCCTATACACCCGTTCTTCCTGTGCTCCCCGTATTCATATTCGTACACCAAGTGTTCAAAGAGCACCTGTATGTGATTCAGCAGTAATTATAGTCCTTTGTCTTAATTATTTATTTTGTTTGGTATCGATATATATTAAGCTTGGATTGTAATAAATATATTTTCCTTTGTAATCCTTTATTAGGAGCATGTTTTAGACCCAAACTTCAATGATGAAAAGAAGATTTATGCTGGTTCTTCAGTTACAATGGGGGCTCTCCTTCTTCTTCTCTTGGCATTCATCCTGAAGCATGGCCTGTCAAAAGCAGCCAAGACCTCCCGGAGCTCCTAAACTTTGTGGTGCCTGGATGTGTGCCAAAGTCAGTTTGGTTTTTAAAGAAACACTTTCTTGATTACAATGACAAGACAGAACTTCATTTTTACTGTCCCAGCTGTTCAAACTACCTTGGTGTTGAGCCAGGTAATAAGTGTGGAGTGTGCCAGCAGAACTTCAAAAAAAGGTCTACTTGAGAAGGCATACTATTTCCTTGTCATGCCACTTAAGGTTCAGCTAAGAAATACCCTGGCCCATGTACAATCAAAGCTACGGAAACATTTCACAAGAGATGCTTGTGTTTGTGATATCAACACTGGAACAGAATACAGACGCGAGACACAGGGAGTACACACTGACCTTATTACACTAACCTTCAACTGTGATGGCTCCCCTGTGTTCAACACAGCCCAGGGATGCACTTAACTATGGCCTCTGGCTTCGCTAACAAAATGGAGCTGCCAATGATCAGAGTTGGTTTCTCAGCGGGTGTGTCGCTGAGTGGGGAAAATCTGTTAGAAACGTGAACAGGTTGATGATGCCCCGTGGACTTTGAATGCTTACGACTATTCCTCCTTCGGACAGTCACCCAGCCCCCCCTCCTGGCTGCTCAGGAGATCCCGGGGGACGGCTACCAGAGGCTAACTCAGGCCGTTCCGCACCGACTACCGGGGACTGGCTAGCTACAGTAGCTAAAGACTGATCTACCAAGGTGCGCAGCCGGACTTCTAAATCACTGAGCCTCGCCTCCATGTCTAAAAATAAACTACACTTATTACACATACCATTACCGCTAAATGAGGCAGAGGAGTAACTGAACATCTGACACACCGAGCAGGAGAAAGTAGGAGAGAGAGAGGGAGAAGGAGAAGCCATCGCTAGCTGCTAAGCTAAAGTACTGTAGCGTCAGCTACCAAAACTTTAGAACAAGTATGAGATTGAACAGCAGTCACTAAAAGATGGAAAGAACTGTGAGTGCTTAGTGTTTAGCGGACAGTTGGCTGCTGTAATCTAACAAATGTAACTGTTATTTAGCGAGAGCAGCACAACACGGTACCAACACACAAGCACCGGAAACGGAATGAGTCGACACGCTTTCCGCAGTATGTCAGCCAGGTGACCCAGGTGAACACTCACCTGGGTCACAGTTACAGAGTTACAGACTATATTAAAATAATCCAGTTTGATGCGTTCATTTAGATCGAATTATGGCCGTTAATGACATCTATAGATGCAGACTTTATTATTCCCATCACGAAGGGCAATTTATTTGAGAAGCAAATAGTGAACTGCATCCTGTATGCAGACTTGCATGTACAAATCACCAGCAGTAAATATTGTGCTAGTACTAATATTGAACTACAAGAAGCCAGACACTGGCAAGCCTTTAATTAGAGTTATGTAAAGCTTTTGATGGGACAGTTAGGTCCTAGAGAAGTGGTGACAACAGCTGCGCAGAGGGGGTCCAATTTCAGTTTTTTGTCATGTTGCCCAAAATTCCTGGCGGCCCCCCTGGTCCCTGCCATAAATAAAACGGTAAGTGTGTGTGTGTTAAAAAAAATATATAAAAAATTAAATAAAAAAATGAAACAGTAACGTGTGTGTGTATTTATTAATATATGCAGTCCGTTTCCCCTAAATCCCACCGTATCTGCTGATATTTCAGTCATGTGATTCAGTAACAGGCTGGTTAACACTTGAAAACAAGTATCACAAAGCAACATTTGAAAAATATACAGGGGTTCTTGCATTCTGTTTTTTCTTTTTCTTCTACTGCTTTAAGAGTCCTTGAATTTGAATTTATTTTAAAAAGATTTATCTATTTTCATATATCTGTGGAACAGAGATTTTTCCAGCTAAGTCTGGTCCAACACTCCATAAAATGTATTAATGTTATTGACCACATCCGCCATGTTATTAAAATTCTTTTCATTATCATACTGCGGATAATTAGCCTGTCTAGTGCTTCTAATAATATATTCCAAAGACATTTAATATAATTTTCATTGTTATCTTATGGTTTACTATAGTATTCTCTCTTACAAGTTCTCATAATATGAACCTATTTTTATATTTCTTATATTTATTTTCTGCTTTTTTGTATAATAAATTCTATGTAAAGTGTATTTTTCTTTTTACAGGCATTTAGTAATCCTGTATTGTGATTTATGTCATTTATTAAAAGGCTTCAGACTTTCCTCTTTGATAAAGCTTATAGTTAGGGCTGGCTCAGGTGAGTCCTGAACCATCCCTTAGTTATGCTGCTATAGGCCTTGACTGCCGGGGGATTTCCCATGATGCACTGAGCTCCTCTCTCCTCTACTTTCTCTCCCTCTGTATGCAACCTCATCCCATTATTGCATGTTACTAACTCGACTCTCCCCTAGTCCTGTGCTTTCTCATCCCTCTCCTCCTATCACTTTCTGCAGATGTGTCTGGCTCTGGAGCCGTGGAGACTGGATCTGTTGTTTCGGGGCACCAGCTGCCAGCTGTGTGACTGCTCGACACCCTCTACTACAATTTAACTTCTCAGAGTGAAATGTATTTTTTACTGCATCACATCTGACGTCTTTAGCTATGTGGTGTCCAAACAATAATGCTGCGATGATGTGTTGAGAAGAAATCCGCTTGACACTGTTCTTGATCATAATAGTTTATTAAATCAAGGAGTCCAGCATCAATTACAAGCTCTGCAGCAGCTTGGAGAGAGACCCAGCCCGATGGCCACTCTGTCTCATGTACATCAAACACAGCTTATATAGGATATGTTTAGGTATCTGTTAGATACCATAGAAGGGTTTGAGTCTGCAAAATAAAAGGTCAAACCCATAGAAGGGTACAGTGCTATTCTGAGGTAACAAAACAAGGGGTCAGAGGTCAAATTCTATAGAAGGGTTCAGTCCCTACATAACCACCAATCACTACTCTCCCCTTAGGAGGTCACTGACCCTCTGTCCTGCTGCTACAGTGCTATTTTACACCACAGTTACTAATTAATAATTAACATGTTCCGCACAAAACATGTGAATAGTTTAAGAAAGTAACACAGAACACATCAAAACAGCGAGCAGAAATATTACACTACAATATTACAACACAAGGAAGGAGGACTAGAGGGTTTAATCAGGTTTATTCAGAATCCTATTGTTATTTAAAGACGTGGTATTCTGCTCATTTTCAGGTTCAAAATCTTATTTAGAGGTTTTACCAGAGCAGGTTTACATGGTTATATTTTCTTACTGCACATTGCTGCAGCTCCTCTTTTCACCCTGTGTTGAAGGCTTCATTTTAGCTATGGAGTGAAGCATCTTGTCTCTAAATGATCTTTGTTGGGAGTTGCACATGCTCAGTTCCTAGTTAAGGACTACTAGCCAATCAGAAGCAGAGAAGGGCGGGTCAGCGAGAAGCCGGTAAACAGCTCGGGTTCAGCTGTACATGTTGCCGACCAGCTTAGCAACATGGACTGGAGCAAGAGTTTCAGAGTGGTGAGTTATTAATCCGTAACAAAAGTATCTTTCATCCATAAAGTTTTAACTGAGCTCTGTCTCTACATCACAGGAAAAACTTTATGTCCACTGACTGCCTGGAGGGTAGCTAGTGTTTGGAAGGGAGAGGAGAGCTTCACAGTTTCCCGGTTCCACTTGATCCCTGTGTGCCAACAGAAGAAGAAACCTGTTAAAACTTTCTGTGTTCATGTAGTTTTGCAGCGCTGTAAAAATGAGGAACTAAAGTAGAAGCACTGAAATATGATGGTTGATGACAGGAGACATTTTGCATTACAGCATAGGTGTCATTTACACTGGGGGACGCTGGGGACATGTCCCCATCACCTTTTGAAAGCATTTGTTAAAAATGTTCTGAAAATACCAAAAAAGCTGCACTGTCCAAAAAAAGGAACTTAAGCCGCTTTATATTCTGTTCTATTTTTATATCTATCAATTGTTACCTGTCATCTGAATTTTTTGTTTCCCTTTATTTAAATAAAGACATTTCCACCACAAATTGGAGCAGAAAATGTCTCCAGTTTCAAGTTTTTCCATTCAACATGGGGAACAAAGCACGAGACGAGTGCCACTTTTCTACTTGTTATAACCCACATTATGGTGGATTACACTGATCTCCCCGTCCTCTGTAACAGACTCCCAGACCAACCAGTAAGAGTCACTGGTGCATTGACAAAGACTTCCAGGAGGGAACACTGACTATTGTACTGAGCAAACATAAAGCAGGCTCCAAGGATCCGGCACTGTGTGGTGTTAAAAGAGTGTTTCCTCTGCAGCACGTCTTATATTTCTCATTCTGGTTAATCATTTGTTTACATTGTTAGCAGCATGCTTTAATGTCATGCCCTGATCTAGCTGTGCCACCCAACCACGTCTAATGTTTTCCCATAATGTTTCGCTGTGTGTGAGTGTGTGTAGAACCAAATCACCTCATCACGCTCTACCCATCATTCCATAATCAATCCCCACCTTCTTCGTCACCTGATCATCTGTTCACTTCCAGTGGTACACTCGCTACAGCCTCATCCTGTTTGTTTTCCTCAAGGACATTCAGCACCTGGAATTTCCCCGTATTCATAGTATTTACGAGTAAATCACTGAAGATTTCCAGTTTTACAACCAAACATTAACCTTAATTTCCAGGGAAAACACCTAAAATAACACACCCAAATGAATCAGTAATAACTTCTCAACCATTTGGCCTTGAATTCTGGTCTCCCTTGAAAAGTCAGAAGCTAAGGAATATGAATCAGCTGTAAATGAACCTATTACTGAGTAAATGGAGCGAATGTCCATGTTTTGGCCATATTTACATGATCACTTTTATTGGGAGTTTTCTTCAAACTATTTCTCTCCATACAACCACATTCTAAATACCAAAGCATCAAAAACATTGAATCAATTGTATCAACATACTGAGGCAAATTGTTTAATATATTGTATGTCTGTGTAACTCCTGCGGGTCGGCCAGTAGACGACAATAAAGACCTCAGTTTCAAAGCAACTCTCCTTCTGTCCTTCATTTGGACGGGAAAAATGAAACCTAACAGCTCAGAGATCCTGCAATACCAAGATGGCAGCCCGGGCGATATTTTCACACACAGAAAACAGCTGTTTTTGGACTGAAAATGGCGAAAATGGCAAATGTAAGTCAGCGGTTTTAACTGTATATGTATCTTGGTGCGTTTGTTGTTATTATTATCCGGCTAATAACTCTGTGAGTTTAGTGATATGAGTTACACAGCTGATCAGAACTGGAGCTGAGCTTTCTTTAGAGTGGTCGGACTGCGGTGTGGGATGAGATGAGAGCAGGGCTGCAAACTTTTCAATTTAGTTTGGAGGTCGAGTTCATTTTATGAGTAGGTAACAGTTAGGCCTTCTGTGTCATATCCCACCGCAGGGGTCAGGGTCATTCTTCCTTAATCCTCAGGAATTTTGTTTTAAAAGTTCATCAGCCTCATTCACAGTTTAAGAGTATGTGCAGATGAAAAGCCAAGTCAATAATCATGGTCAGATTAGTGTGATCAGCATACTTGCCAACCTCCAGACATCACAGCCTTAACTGGACCAAACCTAACCAGGTATTTGGGAGTCTTTCCCCCAGAATCTGTGTGTCAAACCACAGACTGTATTTCTTTGCATTTGAGATAACGTATGGAGTATTAAAGTTCATAATAAGCAAGAACGTTTTCCTTTAGCAATGGAGGGGCCACTTATGTAGCAGGGAATCTGGGGGAAGTAACCTCTTTAAATGTGCCTGTAGCACCTTTCAAAGCTTTTTGCACATTAAAAATCACATATCTGAGTAATCTGACATGTCCAGAAAGATTATTATGAGAACAACTTCATCATTTAATCATTTTATTACATTTTTCTAAGTCTGCTCTGCTGCTCATTACTTGCTCTGTTATGATAGTAGGCTACCTTCAGGCACAACACATTTGGCACTGCATGGATGAGACCCATAAAAAATGTAACTGAAAACACTTGTGATCAGCAAGAATCTCACCAAAAAGCAGCTCTGTGCAGCTCATAGTCCCAAACAGAGCAAGACTGCGCTTCAGTTTTTACATTTTTATATTGCAAAACTCTAACTGCTAAGTTATACTCTGTCAAAAACTTAATGTGACTTACACTGCAGTATGACGCACACCAAGACAAGCGCGATGACAACAGCAAGGGCGACGTAACACCAGAAAGCAGAACAAGATTCGATGATGAATGAATCAGCTGAAAAGATAAAAAAACAGAACAGAATTATATTTATATAAAACTAGACCTCATATGTTTGACAAAACAAGTCCTCCAACTTCAGCAGTGGCACTACGAAAAAGTAGCACACGCATTCTGTTGGTATTCGCGTGATTGTTCATAAACAAAAAACTAAACTATTGGAGTTTCCATTAGCTAAAAGACAAACATAATTAATCTGTGTCTTGCTAACATGCATGACTCATGCAAACTCATGCATCAGGCAAGGAGGGCATTAAGAGAGGACACAAAGAGATCAAAGCTGCAAAGCTCCACAGCGGAGATTGGAGGTCTAAAGGACACTCCACAGAGCTGGGCTTTACGGAAGCAAAGCAATTCTTTAAAGAAAGAAACAAGGACACACGTGTGGTGTGTCATCACCCCTAGAACACCAGCCCCACAGTGAAGCATCGTGGTGGCAGCATCATTCTGCGGGGATGGTTTTCATTGGCAGGGACTGAGAAACTGGTCAGAATTTAAGGAATGATGGATGGCGCTAAACACAGGGAATGTCTTGAGGTGAAACCCGTTTCAGTCTGCCAGAGATTTCAGGTCCACATTCCAGCAGGACAGTGACCCTTAAGCTGATGATACACAACTTCTAGAGCAATCGTGCAGGGCAACATTGTCGTCAATGGTAGTGAGTAAAGATTACTACTGTAATCAACACAGTTCCTGTACAGCTGGTAGGCCTCTGCTCATTATTACAATCATTAAATAGCAGAACAGCAGGGCTTTATTACGTTATATTCAGTAGGACGTTAGCTAGTGTTAGCTAACTAACATCACATTAGGAACAATCCACAGCCGACATTTTTCAGGATTTATTTCAGGTTCTGGAAAGAGAATAAATCGTACTTCTCCTTTCAACCTCTCTGGGTAGCAACTATAACTATTACAAGATGCCCAGGAAGTCTGTTTGACCAGATCTTGGAAAAATACAGCCAAAAAAAAGCTAGAAAACGACTCTTTTTGCATTAGAGTCACTGGAGCGCATCCATGAAAGTGTTGGACCTCAGTTAGAGTCCTATACTGCGCTGTGATTGGCCAGCTGTGTATTTGTGGTGTGGCTTACCGAAGGATCAATTCCAAGCCTGTATTGTTGCCTAAATATGTCTGTTGTACTGCATTGTCGTTTTTCTGGTTTGACAGTTGAACATCGACAGACATCATGTATAATTTAGTTAGATCTCTTTCTGACCTGGAAAATAGATGTGTGTCTGTCTGGTCTGGTTGATGTTCTTCTGTTGGACTCTACAGGTGAAGCTGTTGCTTTGTCTCTTCTCCACTGTCACTCTGCTCCTGACAGTATAGAGGTCATCAGGACCTCTGACTGTCTCTGTAGGTCCAGCAGGGAGGAGGTTTCCCTCACCGTCCAGCCAAAACACCTCGGGCTCTGGATACCAGCCTTCAGACTCACACTGCAACACCACACTGTTGGGGTTATCTGAGTTAACCTTTATGATGGGCGTGGAGACGGCACCTGAGCATAAGAGAAGAGGAATTTAGAACAGAGGGTTTAGATCAAACACATCAGAAAACTTTTGGGACATCCTCCCTGAATCATTGAATTCAGGTGTTCCAATCACTTCCAGGGCCACAGGTGTATAAAATCAAACACCCAGGCACAGGCCTGGATTAAGAAGTCAGAGGCCCCTGGTCACAATGTCTTGTAGGGCCCCCATCCACCGACCCCCCCATACACGTGTGCACAATCAACATTTTGAATTATTTGTTGGAAACACCTCTCGTTAATACAGGACAGAATTATTGGCCGATATGAGCTAACTGCATTTAAATTTGTATCTGAGTTTATAACAGAAAAGAAGAGACAGATCTTTCAATCATGTCATGATTGTTGCATAGTTTCACCAGAAGGCACTCTGCAACTGTCCTGTTGATAACAGCACCACAAAACAAAGCAATCAGCTGACCAGAGTCGAGCAGAGCATATAGAACCAATGAGGTATGGGATAAATATCCTGCCATGTTTCAAAACTGAAAACAAAGTTCTGAAAGGTTAAAATTAAGTGTTTGAAAACTCAAAATCTCACCAAAAAAAAAAACAAGTTTTGCAGGCTAGCAAAGTGTTAAAAAAATCTCTGCAAACATTCCTTCTTCAGAACTGCAAAAAATGTTTTTTTACAATGTTGCACAATTTTTTTTTTAGAGTTTCAAATTTGTCACTGTTCTCCCAGTGTATTACTTTGTTTTTGAAACCTTGTAAATGGTGATCCAAAAACTGGTGTGTGAATGTGTGAAAAAAGTTTTGAAAACCGAGGTTCAAAAGGGCGAAACATTACATTACATTTGACTTATTTTTTCAGAGCTACAACACCCACTTTGGGAAGATATGCCCACACAGTTGCGAGCTTGCAACTCATGTGATTAGTGGCAGCGTTGTCACGCAGCTCTGCTCTGAAACTCTGAAACTCACACTGAGCAAAAATGACGCTTCACAACCTCCCAACTGAAGATAGGGCCTTCTGCTCTTGGCCAATGCGTGGCTTTCTGCTGAAGTACAGTCCAATCACAAGTTATAAAAGACAGGAGCATCTACAGCTTGTTCAGACAGAGGCTGAAATGTAGGCCTACACGAAGAATCAGAAAAAGAAAAAAAATACATTTTTTGAACTTTGAATCATGCACAGCTGCAATACAGGAGTCACAGAACTACAATATAGGACTGGAAAAGCAGTTTAATAGGTCTCCTTTAAGCTATGAGGAGAGGGAAAGTCTGCTAGCCGCTAGGCTAATTTATGCTGTGTAGCATGCCATAAGCTTAAAATCAACGGAGACCATCAGACAGACAGATCTCGACAGCTATTAAGCCAAAATATATGCTTTTATTAAATGTGACTGATATTAAACCATGTTTTATGTGTGGTAGTGGAGTCATTTTAAAGTTAACTTTACTGCACTTAACCAGCAACAAACATTTGTGTTGTTTTTTTCTTGGTATGAAGCACAGAAGACGAGGCAGCATGCTGTGGTCATCACTCACACTTCTTCTATATTTCAGTTGCATTGCATGTTTCTTATTCAACATTTACTGTTCCTGTTTTTCAGAACATTTTAAAAGCTTTCAAAAAGTGATGGAGAGATTCTGATTCTGACTTGTTTTACTCTTAAGTTATAAAATTGGCAACATTACTGTACAGGACGAGGGCCTTGTTTCCTCTGAGGCTTCTGTGCCTTAACTTTAATATGTTCTATTTGTGTGTTTTTAATCAAATACCTTCCACAATCAAACCTTAAATGTCACAAACAGTTTTAAGCATTTCATAAACGGAAAGGAAGTTATTGTCGATTGTTAAACATAATAGTTAAAACATTTCGTAGGGATCACAGCAGATGAAAGAGCATCTTGACTAAGTACTTCCTGGATAATATTGGCTGTTAAATGTTCTTACTTAGAGAATATATAAGCAAGTTATACGAACATGGCATCAGCTTACGAACAATGAAATACAGAGTGATGCATTAAAAGCGGGAGAGGCATTAAAACAATGACATGTAATACTTAATTTGTCCTCTGGGGGGTTGCTGTTCCATGAGAGGAACAAAGAATCCCCTCTGATTATTTTACTTAAATTTAACTCAATCCTTGGTTCAGAAAATTGGTTTAACACATGATAATATTTCTGTATCATATCATTTCTAAAGATTATAAAAAGGTGCTGGGAACAAAGCATTAGTTACACAAATTAAATATAGAAAGGACAGCAAGCATTGACGAAGATTAAAACACTGCAAAATTAACTTATTTATGATTCCTTCTTTCCAACAACAACAACATGGTAATATAACTACTCGAATGGAAGTGGAGAGACATTTCTTGTTCCCACAAAGGAATGTAATCTGAGACCCCCCCCCCCCCCCCCCCCTTCTCTCTTTGTTGAGACAAAGACCATTTGGAATCTCCCTTTTTGGCATGAAATAATTAAAACAGCACACTGGCTGGTCCACGGCAAAGGGTTTTAATTTACACACAACAACAGAAAATCTGATCAGGCAGGATTATCTAACATTCCCTGCTTACTCACATTACATCCACCTACTAACAGCATTTGCTGCTATCTGTGACGTAGTCATCGTGAACTAAGCTTCTGACCAGAGCTGGAGCTCGTTATATGAGGCGCATTTGGCTTTCTTCCCTGTTTCATCACACTCTGAAAGGATAAGCAGCTGGACTACAAATGAGCTGTTTTCAGGCAGTTCAGAGCAGAGTTTCCTGTGGGAGATGGGAACTCCCTTTGCCACTTTTCACTTAGCAAACCTTTTACATGCATAAAAAAGGTTTATAACTCTGTAAAGGAAAGGGGAAAAGCCAAAAAGCAGAATATCACCTCTTTAACGATGTTTCGTACCATGTAAGTTACCAACTTAGTTACCTCCGCACTTTGAACTAGGGTTTTGGCAAACAGTTGCTGCATAGTTCTAACCAAGGAAGTTTCTACAGTAGTTAGCAACGATGCTTTTGGGAAAAGCACCCCAGGATCACAAAACAGAACAAACAACAACACAGACAGAGATCCGGATCGTGATATTGCCATTAAATAAATGCATTCGTTTTGATGTGAATAATTACAATGGCATTGATTTTAATCACCTCTTTGGACCAAGTTGTTACAGAAATGGATTCCTTTTTTTTCCCCGCTCAGAAGTCGTGTCTTTTGCTTTCTAACACATCAATGCCTTACAGGAGCGTTTTGCACTGAAATTACCTCCAACAGATGGAAGAAAGACAAGATGGAAAAGCAAAACAGAACAGGTCCTGAAAGACACTCCATCACTGGACTCTTTGTTTGGATGCAGCATCATGGACACCATCCTGGAAACAAAAGTTGTAAAAAACAAAAGCATTATCTGTTTTCATGAAGATGACACAAATAAAACACATCTTTACATAGTGGAACTACTGTTTCTCAACAGGGAAGAAATTTAGGATCCTAGCTTTTCCTTTTGTGTCACGTACTCTTTTCTTTCTGTCTCAGGGATGGTGCTATCTGATTTTTCTGCTCCAGATCTGATGTTACTCCTTGTTTTAAACCGACTGATCCACACTTCACAGACTAAATTGAGGAATCACATTCGTTGTGGCTCACATCTATTCAGACCTCTGATCTTAGTCTCAATGTTACTGACTGCACTCAGAAGGATTCACAAATGTATTTTGTGATTTATAAAACAGTTTCAGTGTAGAAAAAAAAAAATATATATATGGATGTTGTTGTTAAGCCCAAGGACCCAGGCTTTTGGATGCCTTGTAATCCAACTAAAATAAAAACTTTTACCATTTATATAGCCTACCTTTACTAGTGTTGGTCTTAAAATGAGATGTAGTCAAACAGGCAAATTGTTGGCCTATTGCTATCTTGAGGCAGCAGAAAGGGGCGCATTACTCCGACGGCAGGAAGCCTTAAGACACACGTTTACGCACGAGGCACAGCAGCCTGACTTCAACACATCCAAAAGGTCTCACACAGAGTCCAGGTTCATCCAGTGAAACAGTGTGGAGTAAAGCAGCCGTCCTCCTGATCAACCCTGAGCTCCATCAGAGCGTCTAAATTATTACAGAAGCTAAAAGTTGAATTATTTTTCCTCTCGAGAGTTTCCTCTGTCCTGCCATGTCACAGCTTTTTTGTTTTGCTGATTAAATGCCACACGATATATTTAGCTTACTGTGACTTTATTGCACGTTTATAATGACAGGCAGCCTCTCTAATTAAATTAAAGTTAATTGTTAAACAAAACTCTCATACATAAACATACATGCATTTTTGCGGGGGGCGAAAAAATGCAGCGCAATGAGGATCCAGAAGTTTCACAGAGGAGACGGCGTCTGACTTTCTGGGCACAGACTCAAGTCTGCTGTACTGATTAACACAGAGCTGCAGAGGAACATTAGGCTTCATGAACACAGACAGTTTTTATGTCACGTCCACACTTTTGTCCATATCCCCCTCTCTGCTGTTGGTCCGCAATGCAATCAGTGTGGCTGTAAGGGGGAACGGGAGATGACACTGTGATTAATGAGGGCCTAATGCCTCATGCCGTGAATCCACTGACTCACACTCGCACATTAGGCTGCGTCCCGGTTTTGGTGCGTCGACGTCTGGAAGTGTCTCAGAAGCGTTTCAGCAGAGGAGCATGCAGCCTGCCTCACATTATTTCCTTGAAAGTTATGTGTCCTCTTTGTGCTTCTACTAGCCTACCTTCTTCACAGTTTTATGTGACCCCGTTTCGTTCCGCAAACTTCGACTGCATTTCCCACAAGGAGCATTTCAGAATCAGAGCGTTTTTCCTGCCTGATTTTTGTTTTTTGATTTGGTAAACAGCGTTTGCACTTTGTAGCCCACTTCTACTATGATTTAGTGGGCTACACGGTTAAATTGTTTCTTTCTGTGTCTGTTTTAACCGTGTTTATTGTTGTTTTATGATCGGGAGTCTCAAGGTGTTTTTATTTTGAAAATTGACCGGAATCTCTATGCCGTTTTCTGCGTCTGACTTCCTGCCTGGTTCGATCTGCTCTGTGCTGCTTGACCAGGGGTCGCTTCAGGGACGCGCTGCGGCCGCGTCTGTTGGACTCACATTGAATATAATGGCCGCGATCGCAGCCGGAGTCAGTGGATTTAAGTACAACCACTTTACCCACGCGCCTGGCGCACTGACCATTTTTCCCCGCAGTCAAACCAGCAAAAGTGGAGTTGAACAAGCCCCAAACGTTACTGTGCCACGCGCTTCGATCGTTAAAATAGTTTTAATGCTCAAAAAGACCCCCTGCTCATAATTCACAACGCGACGCAAAGCAAATTTAATTTCTCTACTAAGACAAAAAGTAAGTCATTTTTGGCAGCTGCATAATAACTTTTCTCTTCCCTCAGAGTTTATACATAAGTCTTTGTTAAACACATTAGGCTATACATACTTTAAAATAAGATGACAATGATGACAATACACAAACAACCCAAATACACCCCAACTTCTAACGTTTAACATACAACTCTTACCTGCAGAACGACGAATTTTAACTCTCCACTGTGATGTTCTGCAGTTTTCCCTTGACTTGCAGATGATCTTCCTCGCAAACTCTATTTCAGTCTGCAGCTGACTCTTCCCTCAGCTGTCCCCCTTTTTTTTGCTTCCCTAGAAGGCTAAGCGTCCTGCTTCCACATCTGTTATCAGTCAGCTCATTGTTCCTCTGCTTACACATTCCTCTCCTCAGCTTCTTCTGTGGTGGTGTGACTGTTGCTGAAATAACCTTGAAGAGCTCCTGGGTTTTTTGTTGTTGTTGTTGTTGTTGTTGTTGTTGTTGTTGTGATCTTGTGCTTATGGCTCTAACACGTTTTTCTCCTGTGATTTAGGATCCCTCTCCAGCAGCCACTGCCTTCGCTCTTCCTGCAGCAGCTCTTCACTTACACTCAATGATCAATAAAACCTCTGGGAGGAAAATGTTTTTGTTGATTAAAGCCCTCAAGAAAAAGCTTATAATAATTAATAATGATGCAGCGAACTCAAATGCTCCTCAGCATCAGAAAACAAAAAAGCGTGTGTGCTTATAAAATACTGAGCAGAAAGTTCTTACCATATTTAAAAAGCATAATAAGTAATATTTTATTTATAACCTTAGCTTTTATTATTTTGATATTATTGTAGTGTTTGTGCCACTTCAGCTTGTGACCTTTTAAATACGTTTACACTTACATTCACTTACAATAATTTAGTTTCATAATAAAAATAGTAATTAGATAAATCAATCAACATAATGCACAATCCTTCTTAATAATAATCCTATAATAATCCCATAATCCTTACTTCATAAGTGCATTATCACAATATTACAGGAGTGCATTCAATTTTAAACAGTATAAAATCTATTAGAAGTTGAAATACCTTCATAATCAATCAGGATTTGACACATTTCTATTAAATCATTTGTGTAACAGCAACTTTTTGTGCATTTTTATATATATTTATATATATGAAATTGATTTGAGATGGTGGTTTTAAGAATAATTTTTATAATTGTTATTTTTATTAACATTAACTGTCTTATAACTTTGTGAAAATTATTTTAAACTTCTGTATGGTGTTAAAACTGAAAATTGTTGCTGGTAGTTTTTGTTTGTATTATGTACAGATTTTGTAATGTATTATTTAAACATGTTTTGTAATATTCATGCAAACCTCTTTCTGGACCCCAGGAAGACTAGCACTAGCTTTTGCTGTGCTAATGTAGATCCAAATAAATAAATAAACAAATAAACACATACAATGAATTAGACTCCAATTCTCATAAAAACAGTGTAGAGGACACATTTATATGATGAAACAGACGTAAAGTTAAATAGATCAATGATCCAAGCAGGTCGCGAAAAATGATTTTATCCAAGGATAACAGGAAAACTTTTACTCAATGAGTCGGTCTCTTTGAAATCAAACCACTCTTTGCTACTGAAACTTGAACCCTGAACCTTCAAATCTCAAGAGTACATTTTGTGTCTGTTTTCTCTTCACTTTCTCACAAGATGAAGCAATGAAATCACACGTCTTAGTCACATATCATTCTGCCGGTTTTGAGAGTGTCAAATATTTAGGTGGTGTTTGATTCAACACTGAGCAGGAGAGAAAATGTTGTGCACACTGTACAGGTTTCAGAAAGATACTGGATATCACTGCAGACTCACTGTTTGACCGATCTAAAAATCATTTGAAACACTTGATATCGGCCATCTAGAGAATGTTTGTGTTGATTTTGGTAGCGTTTGAAAGAAAACCTGTAGAGATATAGATGTTAGTTGATTCAGCAGATTCTGAAAAATATATTCTAAAATATAGAGTGACTTGAATGAGTGGACCATAGGTTGCAGGTTGCAGGATGACGTACAGGTGCTTTTCGTAGATTTTTTGAAGTTTGGAATGAAAAATGTTTAGAAATTTACATTTGTTGTAATAAGCCACACCCACTTTAAGCAACCGAATTTTGTACAAATCCATGCAGCTTTTACAAGGTATAAACTTTTCGCATGTGTAGCGCCCCCTAGTGGAAGAATATCCCAGGACAGCTCAGCAAAGCTCGGACCGAGCATCTGAACAGACGCGTCAAGTTTGGTGACAATAGCTTAAGCCAATTTTGATTTACAAGCATTTCTGAAAAATTGTACATAAAGACACAAAAGTTAAACTTTAGGGGGGAAAAAAACAGACTGATGAATCAAAATCCTTTTGATAACTTTTGAGCGACAATGTCCGTAGATGATCCTGCCAAAGTTTCAGGTCGATTGGATGAACGGTGTTCAACAAGTTTGCAAAAATGGGTTTCTGTGAAAAGTGATAAAAAGTCACATAATTTGACAATTTTTGAGCAGAAGACCATTGGAGCAAAGATGCAGATGAATCCAGAGATTAAAATGATGAAAGACCTTTGACTCTAAACAAAGCCGTTTTTGAGATAATTGCAAAAAGGTAAAGTTGATTTATTTGATTTTGGTCCAGCAGTTTTTGCAGCACATATACACTCATGCTTCAATGCATTTAGGGGTGTGGTCCTGGTCAAGACAATCTCCTGAACTCCAAACTGAATGTCAGAATGGGAAAGAAAGGTGATTTAAGCAATTTTGAGCGTGGCATGGTTGCTCAGTTACTGGGATTTTCACGCACAACCATTTCTAGGGTTTACAAAGAATGGTGTGAAAAGGGAAAAACATCCAGTATGCGGCAGTCCTGTGGGCGAAAATGCCTCGTTGATGCTAGAGGTCAGAGGAGAATGGGCCGACTGATTCAAGCTGATAGAAGAGCAACTTTGACTGAAATAACCACTCGTTACAACCAAGGTATGCGGCAAAGCATTTGTGAAGCCACAACATGCACAACCTTGAGGTGGATGGGCTACAACAGCAGAAGAGCCCACCGGGTACCACTCATCTCCACTACAAATAGGAAAAAGAGGCTACAATCTGCAAGAGCTCACCAAAACTGGACAGTTGAAGACTGGAAAAATGTTGCCTGGTCTGACGCGTCTCGATTTCTGTTGAGACATTCAGATGGTAGAGTCAGAATTTGGCGTAAACAGAATGAGAACATGGATCCATCATGCCTTGTTACCACTGTGCAGGCTGGTGGTGGTGGTGTAATGGTGTGGGGGATGTTTTCTTGGCACACTTTAGGCCCCTTAGTGCCAATTGGGCCTCGTTTAAATGCCACGGCCTACCTGAGCATTGTTTCTGACCGTGTCCATCCCTT